CGATAGGGGACTTACTGATTGGTGGTCTGACAGATAAGAGGTCGAATTCCCGATACACAAGGCCCGAGTGACATGGTATCATTTTGCTGAATGCGAAAATTTGGGAGTAGGAAGAAGAAGTAGAAGAAGTAGAAGAAGTAGAAGAAGTAGAAGAAGTAGAAGAAGTAGAAGAAGTAGAAGAAGTAGAAGAAGTAGAAGAAGTAGAAGAAGTAGAAGAAGTAGAAGAAGTAGAAGAAGTAGAAGAAGTAGAAGAAGAAGAACAAGAAGAACAAGAAGAACAAGCAGCAAAAAAACAGAGTACTCGTCGCAAAGGTAATCCTGACCCCCAAACCTGTTTGGGCTATGGAATTTTGCTACAACAGGAGGTACACTACTTCACGGTTCCTTTATGAGAAGACATCGAAAAACAATTATGCTGTGTCGTATTTTTCATTGTAACCTTTCAAACATCATCTCGAACCAACTGAGTATTCACTGAAACAAGTGAAGGCTACCTTCATATGTAGATAGCAAGAGGCCATTACAAGGCCGTGAAACATACAGCGCGTGGATCGTAATAAAGTTTAGACTCCCACCCCACGAGAAACAAAGTAGATGATCACATACATAATAACAACATATCCAACCATTCGTCTATGTCATACCACCGTGGAAAAGTCCCTCAAATGGCATTGGGGAACGTGTGAGGGTTCTTGAGAGTCTCGGGAGAAGAGCGCACCTTCGGGCCAATGAGATGGTCAAAGGCAGGCGAGTGTTCAACACGAGGGCTCAAGTCCTTCAGATCCCACAAGTAACCGAGGGTCTTCAAAACGGAGGTAGCACTGTACGAGGAAGACTCGCCGGTGACGGGGTCGGTACCGTAGCCCTCAACGTGACCCTTGGGGGTATAAGGAGACAGCAACCAGGTAGGGATACGACCACCCAGACGGTCGAAGCTGAAAGTGTACTCGCTGCCGTCATAAGCTTTCTCGGTGTAGGTCTTGTTGTCGGGGCGGACGGCAAGCGGGGGCGCGACATGGTCGTAGAATCCACCTGTCTCATCGAAGGTGACGAGGAGAAGGGTCTTCTCCCATTGAGGGCCGGTGCGGACGGCGTCGTAGATCTGCTTCAGAAAAACCTCACCGAAGGAGACGTTGCCGGCGGGGTGCATGGAATTTGTATTCAGACCGCAGCAGGACGGGTTGATGTATGACAGCTGGGGGAGAAGACCCAGGTAGGCGTCTTGGTAGAAGTTCTCGAGCGGCACAACGTTGCTCTTTGCGTTTTTGGTGGTCCAGTCGAAGAACAGGGCATCTGGGTTGAAGGCGCCGTTGGTGCCGTCGTAGTTGAGCCACGAGATGCCCTTCTCCGAGGCAGCCTCGAAGATGCTGGTACTCTCAATGGAGGAGACATCGAAGCTCTCATCATTCTTGCCGTGGCCATCGGTGACACCCGAGACCGCGCAAAGACGGTTGGGGTTGGTGGGCTGGTTGATGGTCAGTTTGATATATTTTGGTGGTTTGTAATACGGGCGTGACTTACACCAGGGACACAGGAGTGCCAGTTGTTGAAGGTAGTGAACTCATCAACCATTTCAACGATGGTGGGGATCTGACCCTCAGAGTAGTATCCCAGGACCTCGTCGGCTGCGCGCTGAGCAGAGATCTTGGGGTACCGGAGACATATGGCGGTTGACGAAGCCTGACAGGTCGGCTTTCAAAGAGCCGTTGGCAATGGCTTCATTGTCAGGGTTATAAGTTCCATAAAGCTCAAAGTTTGTACCAGTGAGCGTGTGGTCGGGGTCATTGAGAACCGAGTCGTAATTCTTGAACTGGCTGGGCCACTTCTTGCTGTCTTGGTTGCTAATATCCTCCAAGTTGTAGAAAGGACCATTGTTGACAACGTTGTCCAAACCCTTCTTCTTCACACCACCCAAAATGTTGTCAAATCCGCGATTTTCCAGCAGGACCCAGACAACATTCTCGATCTTGTCTTTCATGTTGGCAATGGACTCCTTCGAGCCCGACTTGTAGCCGAAGGGCGCGTTCCCTTTGCCAGTCTCCACGGCCGCACCCAGGGCGCTACCGGATAGACCGAGCAAGGAAATGAGAGCGGTGGTCTTCATCGTGCCAGTAAATGATTTGGTAAACAGAGTTGGACTGAAGTGAGTACGAAGATCATTTCCTCGGTCGCTGCAAGGCTTTTATATCTCTCTCCCTACATGATATGTGCATTAGAAGAGATGCTCAATACAACATAGTTGGGGAATGTACAGGCAGAAATCAAACTCCATGGCAAATGAAATGCGGGCATCTCTGGCACATGTTCAGTCCAAGAGTTTTGATCGGCCGATCAACTATCGATTGTACGCGAGTATGCCCGGCATAACATTGGTGGAGTTGAGACAATCCGGATGTTACCGGTAGTTGATAATGCTCGTGTCCAGATTGGATGCAAAGACAAAGAAGTCCCAGGCGGGTGGAGGACATGCCCAGACGGAAGTATAGGTGGGTCTTATGGCTCCACCTAGGTGGAGTCTCCAAGGCTAGCCCTGCAGGCACACCAATAAAATCATCCGCCAACAGTGCTTAATATGCGCCAAGTCACCAATCACACTCCGTTCTTTTCGCATGCCGAGGGATATGAAGACGGATGTGGCTTTCGTATCCCATTCGCTATCGTTTGAAGGGATCTTTGGAGTACACCTCGGGAGTGCGTCGGATAACGCTATATTCCGCGTCTTAAAAGGGGAATTAGCGGGAAAATGCGACATATGGCAATGCACGTGGTCTAAGAAAGGGTATAGAATAATAGTCGAATGGCAGATAACGAACAGAATAGTGGAGAGAGCATTGGGGTGGTATCCAGACTCTAGTCTCTATCTAGGGAAAATCCGCGAGTAGCGAAATATTCGTCCAGCCGCGCCTCAACAGACGGGCCCTCAAAGATACTTGCAATATACTGGTCAGGTCGCACCAAGTAGACAGCATCCTTGATCAGCCCAGCTTTGGCGTATTGATCGTGCCAGCGGAAGGTGAAAACCTGCACACCCATCTCCTGGGCCCACTTGTCAACTTGTGATAGAGACTCCCCATAAATATGGAGCTGCCAACAAACATCTCGCAGGGTTGAAAAATTGTCCACTTCATTGATTTCAACCCACGGAAGACGATCGCCTGGCTGCACTGCCCCTTGGCCGGCCTCACAAAGACTACTGCCCCTATAGTTGCAAATGAGTTGAGAAGCGCCCCGGAAGATTCTGGTCCGGGTAAAATCGAATCTCAAAAGCAGTGGCACAAGATACGGAATCAGCCAATTTCGAAGAATGTGTGGGAAGAATCCTTTTGATGTTAACGTCATAAAGCCCGTGTCGGTCGACTTGACTATCATCATGGCAAATGAGCGGCGTTCGGACTCATATGATTCCAATAGTTGATTTTTTGCTTCTTCGGTCATCTTTGCCTGTTTGAGAACGGCCGCTAGTTTCCATGCCAGATTGATAGAGTCCATGATGCCGGTGTTCATTCCCTGCCCGCCAACTGGGCTATGGATGTGAGCCGCATCACCGACAAGGAACGCGCGATTACTGCGGAATCTGTCCGCCACACGGTGGTGACTGCGGTAAGTGGAGAACCAGTTGACCTTCGTGATGTCTATATCCATCACTTGCATGATTCGGGGTCGAACGTCTTCGAATGTGATCTCGTGCTCACGCTCTGGTGACTCACGGCCATGGCTATCGTTATCCGGGACCATGATACCAACCAATCGTGCATGGCCTGCTTTGTTGTAGGGGACTATCAGGTTGAAAGTGTCGTTTGTGAAGACCACGTTCCCTTCGCCGTTGAAGTGCTTGTCGCTTTTGCCTTCGACATCGGCGATGTAAAACAGCGGTTTGTATGTTTCACCCTCGAATTTGGCGCCAATTGCGTGGCGAACTGCCGAATGTGCTCCATCACACCCAACTATGTATGACGCCTCATGTGTGGTTGAGCTCCCATCAGCCTCGCGGAACAGGGTAGCAGTGATGCTTGACCCGTGGTCCACAAAGCCTTGTAACTTTGACCCTCGTTCAACATGGATCCCGACGTCATTCAGTCGTTTTTCCAGCATTCTTTCGTGGTCATCTTGCGGTGCACTTAGCATGAACGGGTACGGAGTCAACTTGCGACCGAAGTCCTGTAGCGAAACGTGTGCTTTGTGCTGCGTATGAACCCAAAGGTTTGTCGCTGGTAACTTGTATCCAAGTGCCAGCAGGTCTTCGGCCAATCCGAGCTGTCTATACAGCTCGATTATACGTGCATGAACAATTATCGCTCGTGAGTCTTTCGCCGGAACCTCTGCCTGGTCAAAAATGTGGACATTAACGCCTTGATGGTGAAGCCACAGAGCAAGGACAAGGCCAGTTGGGCCTGCGCCGACAATCAGAACATCCGTTTTGGGTTTCATGTTTGGAAAATTTTCGGGGTGAGGGTATATAGGTTGAATTGATGTATGAAAGGCAAAATACCGGGGTCAAAAGATGATTGCAAGTAGGAAATTGGTGGTCATATCCAAGGTCAGCAGCGAGCGGAACCGACTTTAAATAAAATTTCTGACCAGGCAGACACCATCGCTCTGTAAAGAAATGAACCCCAAAGGAATGTTAATCGTGACTCTGCTCGGCTGTTTAGTCGCCGACCCCGAGCCTCGTAAACGCCAAGACACCTGGACGGCATCGGGGCGTCGCGTGCCGATCGGCGCGAGGTTCTCCAACTTTTGGGGTACGCATGGACTTCGAACACGATATTGCTGTCATACCTCTTGATTCGTCACAAGGGGTATGTGAGCGAATTTGAGAAATCGACAGTATCGGGAATCATGTGGCAAACTGGGATATGTGCTTCCCTAGAGCCTTAGAGCCTCAGGCAAGAACCTTGGTTTTTGTGGTCTAGTGGAATATTGCCGTATTTTACTCCATCATCATGCTTAGGTCACGGCAGATATGTTGCATCATCTGCAAAAGATCCTTGGAAGTTACTGAGAAGATTGTCCCAGTCATTCCAATCCTGCGGGCTATCACCAAGTAGGAAACCGAAGTTTTCGTCCAGTCCGAATTGTGAACTAGAATGGTCGTAGCTAGGTTGATCTTGTGGCTTAGCATCACGCTTGGCAGCTGGGAAGTTTTCATCTTCCTTTTGCGGGCTAGAAATCCCTGCTGTATTGGCTAACAAGGATGCGACGATGGTTGGACAAGGTGTTGGTGTGCGGTGGCTGTGGTTACACTCTTCAATGTACGTCCGCCAGGCCTTGACAATTAAGTGTTGAATGGCCATGTGGAGAGGCGTTGGGCCGTTCTCACTCATCGACTTGATATGCTCAGAGTACACATTTCCAATCAATTGCCAGACTTCGCTCTTCTCTTCGGGATCAGTCCGGTGTCGTATCTCCGAGAGCATGAATATCATGGCATCCCACGGCATAAAATTAATCGTGTGCCACGAGTATTTCCGTACAACTTGGTTCTTTTGGGCGTAGTCAGCATACTGTATCATCTTGAGAGAATTCTCAAAGATGATGTTTTTTCTCTGCTTGGGATATGCGCATGTTGGGATTCTGGTATTGACGAGGATGGTGGGCCATCATCCGGGTGTAGTAAATAGCCGAACGCACCATCATTGTCGTTGCCATATGTAACGGGATGGATTTATCGCAGTGCCGGAGGAACGTGTCTTCCATGTGCGCTTCAAGTTCATCAATTGTCTTGTCCTTGTCCTTTAATGACATCGACGACGATGATAGGAAAGCCCATGGTCCAGTATTAGAACTCTCCATCTGGTTTGACAAACGGAGGAGCCATTTTCCAAATGCCCTCCGAGCCAGAACAAATATCATTTCTGTTGGTCCTGGCTTCTCGCAGGCTGGCTCGGTCATGCGAGGGTCGAGGTCGCTATCATTTGCGTTCATGGGCGGTTGTACATCAATTGTGGTTGGGAGCGGCGTTGATGCTACACCACAGAACTGTGCAGATGTGGCATCTATGATCATGAGCTGGAACCAGATGCGACGGCGCATTTCTGTTTCGAATACTGAAAGTCCGTGTGCAGACCCGTCTCGATGAATTCCAATCCGTTGCGCAATCCTCACTGCAATGCCGCATAATGTCCAGACAGTATGTGGGTCGGAAAACGAACGCATGCAAAGCTACCGAAACGTCGTTAAAAAGGGGATTAGATCTCGTCAAAGGAATATGAACGCACCAGGTATAGCATAAACGCTTGAAGAACTACTGAGCTTGATGTACGAAGAAGCGATGCATTCTTGAAAGCGAGTTGGGCTCCTCGTCTGCACTTTGATAGGAGGGCTTTCTTGCTTTCTCCGAATGACTTTTCGACATCTTCTGCTTGCAGGGAAACCAATGCTATACAGTATATTGCGAACATCAATGCTTCGATCTCCCGGCTTACTTTTAACAAATCACTCATGGCATCCAAGATCTGTTGTTGAACAGTTGGAGCATGTATAATTTTGGTGAGCGGGTTCACATTCTCGAGAAAGGCCTGCCACAACTTGAAGATATTCAGGGGACTCGGGTGGAGCTCTGTAAGAACCTTTTTGGTTGCAGATGTCGAGAGTATCGCATAATCGTCGCTCACATCCTGGGCAAAGTTATCGGTACCATTATCCGATCCATCGTCCAATACGTCTGCTGCATTTGGAAGCTAGGTAGGATGGTCAGGATTGACAGCACGGGTAAGCCAGAAATACTTAGGTACTAACCTCATTGCTCACACTGGTCCAAAGATTGCTATTATGCAAGTCAGAACTCTGACATTAGGTAAAATGCAGCGCGAGCAACTCACTTATCGAGATAGATGGAATTGCCATCTTTCATGATCATCCTCCCAGATCCACTCTTTCCTGCTTCAGTCCGTTGATCTCCCCCAGCATGATGATAATGCTGACGGGCAGAGGGATTTTGGTCAAATCCCGTGCTGCGTCTAAGATGTTTTCCGCGTTCTTGAGATACACTCCCGTTGGTTTCTCGATTTCTTTTGCGACGAGGTGGTGGAGCACGGTAGATGCATTCCACATTTGCCTTTGCGCAATTTGAACAGGGAGTACGGTGATCTTGTTTATCACATTTGACCTTTCGGTTGTGACAGACCACACATGCATACGATGCGGGTTGTTTTGATGGCGAATCTGTTGCCCCACCATCCAAGGAGTTATCTAGACTAGTCATCGCTGCAGCGCGGTCATTAGAAAACAATCCAGCTAGACATGAATGAGTGACATGCTTGATTAAGCAATTGGATCTCTGGTGACATTGAGGAAAGGAAAGGCTACGGATCGGAAAGGCAAATGTCCGTGGAGATCTGATGCCTTGAATATAAGGCAGAGCAGAAACTCCGCACCACCGATATCAGTTGCCGACATCATCCCAATCTCGGTTGTTTCAAAACCCTATGGCTTAATTTCGGGGGTTGATATTCTTAGGTAAAATCCCACATCTTCGCTCAAAGTATCAGATTATGTTTTTGCAGTGCTCTATTTGGTCCCATCACTTCGTCTTTACGGTCTGGGCACATACAAATCACAGCCGGAGCCATTCCATCTGTGTCTTTCTATCATCCATTTGACTTGTTTATCTGTTTGGTGTCAAAGATTTCAAACGTACATGTCAAAGGATATTCCAAATGATTCACCAAATGATTCACCAAATGTATGAACCATGAGGCATTTTCTCAATCGGGTCACAACAGTCCTCCGGAGAGGTAAACGGGGTTCGATGTCGGCTGTGCCTAGAGCTTCTGGGTGGAAACGACTTCCATGTGATGTCTTTGTTACGATCCTAGCCTTTTGTGATTTGAAGGATATTGGTGCTTTGTCTCTTTCCTGTCGAGCACTCCACGACCGGGTTTCCAAGTTGGATCTCGCCATAGCATGGGCATATGTTCAACTCCGAAAGCAGCGTCATCAAAGCCATTGCATTGATGGCGACATGTCCCCCGGTGATGATATTGCCTTCGTCTCCGAGTTATTTCCTCCCCCGCCTCCTGAGTATAGCACAGGCATGGCCCACGACAACGCAGGGTATTCTCTGGGATATCTCGGCGATTTAAAACGATGTTGGAATACTTGCATTCGACTCTCCTATCACTTGGCTGATCATGTGGTTGAACATCATCTGGAGACCGATTTAATTGCCCGGCCTTTGTGGTCCTCCTCCAAGACAGAGAAGGAAGTTATCTACAGTAAAGCCGTGGCTTCGCTCCAAGCCAAGCTTTTGCATCCGATGTATGGCCCCATCATATTATTTCACTTGGAAGCGTACTTACTCGGATATAGAGCCTATGCGGTATTCTTCTTGGAATCAGCCGCATCTTCTGGCTCTGACTGTGGTCACTCGGCTCACCACTACAAAAATATGGCTTGTTCTATTGAAAGACAGCAATCAATTCTTCGAAATGCGCCTTTTGACGATACACTTGTATTTTTGTCGACCCACCACTGCATGCAGCTTCTATTTTCAACTGTGCAACGGTTGATGGGCCCAGAAATTCCCCGCTCCTCGGCCGAAAGCTGGTTGAGTATCCTTCTCACCACTTCAACCATGGAGAGAATCGTCGACTTCTTTGTTTCCATTGCAAAGGATGACCGAAGAAAGGAAAAGGGCGAGCATGAGTCTACGTGGTCTCATAGAAAGGAGTTTTTGTGGGCGATGCGAAAGGATTTGAACGAGTACATGGCGTCTTTCGATGACCATGGTGAACACACACTCCTTGAGCCAACCCTTAACCATGTATGGTTCCAAGCAGCACGCAATGAGATGGATCGACGAGGGGCTATTCCGCATACTGTTAAGTATTCTGAAGTGCACGTTCTCCACGGATCTGTTGTGAAATTAGAATGTGGATACTGCTATGATTGTTATGACGAATGATAGCCCAAAGCTTAGCGCAGCTATCAGGCAATAAGTTGTAAATATCTAGGAATAATATGAATCGAACTATCTTTGGAATCAATACAAATAGTAAAAATGATCAATCAACAATCCTGAATGCAGATAGAAAACAAGACCTTATATACACCAAGCTCCGCACTAAACCGCTTCCGCTCGGTTCCCGGCAGTTCGGGCGCCGAGCCCACGAGCCCGGACTTCAACCAAACTCCTTTCTCTTCCTCTCAGGTGCCTGAGATATGATTTGACTCCGAAATTCCGTTGGAAATTCCGAAGGCAACATAACATGTCTGCTGTAAGTTTGCCTGAATAATGGCATTGCGAAAGGCAACGCTGTTTCGAAACATATATGTAGCCCAGCTAATCAGTTATCAGTGCGATCTATGTCATACTCGGAAGGTATAATCACTCGTTTCTCACATTTAATTCTTTAATGTTCCAATGCTCATCTCAAGCAATTGTAGGTGAAATGCGATCGCCAGGATCCTTGCATGAACTGCACCGATGCAGGTGCAGAATGCCTTCGCAATCGCCAGGCACGAGTTCATAGGCCGCGGGTCTCTCGGTACGTGGAATGTGAATTGCAGGTCTTTAGACTCCACAGCTGACATTTCCAAGACTGGAAACATTGACCCAAAGATTGGCAAAGCTAGAAGAGGCAACCAATAAAGAGGCTACCAACTTTCCGACAACGCATCACGCCGCTAGCAGTACATCTTCGTCGCCTTCGGCCAAACTGACAAGTATTACTGGAGTGCTCAATGACAAGCAGAAGCGGTATCGAGCATATGACCCCAATGATATGAGTCCTCTGCAACCGCCATTAAGTAAACACCGCAAGTCTCAGACTGTGGTGCAACAAAATGTTCACCAAGCACATTCTCCTGGCTCAACGCATCATGCTAGTGAGGCTAGAGAATATATTGAGCATGAACTCCAATGCAATCCTGCTCTGTCAAAAGATAGACGCACTGCGCTTGAATCAGCGCGCAAGTTCGTCAGTCAGCTATCTAATCCGACTTTAAATTGGGAGGAGACCGCGGCTATTCATGATATGGAGATTCAAGAAAACCTAGAACCCCCCTACTCTCACACCGGAATTGCTCTATATGATGTTACCTGGTAAGTTACCACGATTGGAGCAGATGCCGGCAATGCTGATTATTACAGGACCCGATAAGAAAACAAACTCTCAGGGAACAATCAACTGGCCTGATCACATTTCCGACAAGGTCCTAGAACAAATGGGGCTTGGAATTATCGAGGGCGCAGAATGTGAGCAAGTGCTCCAGCATTACCGACTTAATGTCTGGGTAAAAGCCATGAGTTTTATATCAAAAATGGGCCCTCTCGTTCCGAGCGAGCCTTTGAGGAATCATTTTCGGTCACTCAAAAAGAGATATGAAGCCGCTGCTATAGAAATTTTGAATCAAATTCCGCTGGCAGCTGAACCTAGTCTTCTTTTGCTTCAATCAGTTTTGTCTGCAGTATGTTTCTTGTCTATTTCGGGTGGCTCCGTATACATCGACTCATTTCTGACTCACGCTAGACCCGTTTGATGCAATATTTAGGAAATATGACACGCTGCTGGATGCTGACAGCACTAGCCTCGAGAATGATCGTCTCCTTGAACTATCACAACATCACAGATGTCAGTCCTCGAACCCAGACAGAGGAAAATATCCATGCCTGTGTTTTCTTGTGCTATTACTTTGACAACACCCTCAGCCTGCTGCTCCTCCGACCACCGTCACTGCCGGATCTGAAAGTTAAACCAACCCAGTTAATCCACATCGACCCTGATCTGCCAACATCTACCATGATAATAGGCGTAGTCGAGTATTCAGAGTTGAAGAATACTCTGCTGACCATCTTGCTTGATACCAAACCGATAGGAGACACAGAGAAGGCCAATATACTATCTGATCTTGTGGCGCGGGCACACATAATCCACTCCAATATGCAGATGGTAAGAGAGATCGAAGATGGGCCAGCAACCAACCGCTAATCCAACTTTCAGTTTCGTCGTCGCCAAGAACAACAATTTACACAATCATGGAGCCATCTGCGGCGCGAATGGCTATCAATGGACTTCAACTACTATTCTGTTCTCACGACAATCATCCAAGCCCGCTCCTCGGTGCTCAAGTCCCGCTTGGTCTGTGAGAACTGTCTATACACAGCCCGGGAAGCTCTCACCACTCTCCGAGCTTTACAGGAAGCATTCTCAAACCGCATCAATTCTATCGACTCATATCCATACTTTCTTACCTGGTACGATATAGCAATTTCCAAGCCATCTCTCAATATCTTAGTCGAAACTGATCACTGTTTCAATAGGACCATGCTGCTATTCCCTCTAGCACCGTTCTTTGTCCTGTTTTGCAATGTCATCGCAACATCAAACGAGAGAGACTTCAATATGATCAAGAACATCACCGACGACCTACATCAATTCGCAGAGGCCAATGCCTCGATCGGCAAACTGTACAAGCTATTCTCCAAATTCCTAGACCTGTGTGCCCCTTTGGTTAAAGGGAATACCGAACCTTCATGTTCAGAACAGCCAGCAGCTGCACCCTCTGATGCGAACACGGCTGGAAATACTGAGGCCCAGATGGCATCCTACACAGATATATTTGGCCGCGCTACCGGTACCGATCAGTCTTTGGTCAGGCTTGGGGGTACAGATTCCACTGGAGAAGGCCCTACTGCACCACCGTCTGTGGAGGGATGGAATGACAGTCTTGTGTGGGAACTGTTCGACAATCAACCCTCGTTGGGATGGGCGGAGTCAGAACTGTGGAATGCCATGGCGCAGTTTGATGCGTGAAATAGAATAACAATACGTGCTTCAAGATGTTTCTGGAAGTGCTTCATGGTTATCCCATGATCTCGGTTGATTGGATTTGCATAGTACATAAAGGTGTATTTACGTAGCTGACTCTTTAGGACACAGTCCCAAGCAAGAAAGAGCAACGGGGAAAAGGTGAGAAGATAAAGAGCGTGATGATTGGGGCATCTCAGAGTCTAGCCAGAGAGTAAAAAGAAATGGAAATGCTCAGCGAGTGCGGATATGCAGAAGGGCCATGTTCTGTCGAAAACACACGGGCCAGTTATTATAATACAGTACAAAGAAAAAAAGGGGGGGGACCTCGTGTCTATCACGAAATCAAGACCCAGAGAAGGAAAAAGATCTATAATGGTCATTAGTTGGATGTCCAGGCAAGAAATTCAACATGAGTCAACGTACCATCAGAATACCAAACATCTTGGCAATTAGCCAGCGATTCCCGGACACGCGCGTCCAATACTTCATTAGTTCTCTCTGCGCCCCTTGGACGTTGTCGACCACATCTTCGGTATTGGCATCTATGCGCTGGATCATTTCAGACTGCTCGCTGACCATCTGCGCCAGCTGACCAAAAATACCACCTAATTCGCTGATGGTTCGTTCAATAGCTTCAATAGCTTCGCCTCGGGCTTGGACATATGTGTTACTCGATTCTCCTTCTTCCATTACCATCAACTGCTGGTCTGATTGGAATGATGGACGCCCCAAGGGCGAAGGATTTGAGGGCTCGAGGGTCAAAAGGTCGGAGGAGTTGCCTTGATATCCTGGCTGAGGTGTCCGTCGTCCCGAGGTGTTATACAAAGGCGAGTCTGAGCGCTGTGCGTCGAGGGCGCTGTGCGATTTGGAAGATACCGAGGAAACAAAGTTCTCGGTTCGTGATCGGGATGCTTGAATATTCTTCGTGCGAACTTCGAGCACCTCCTTGAAACTAGCACCTACATCGGCCAGCTTTCCCTGCAGCATGACAACAACCTGGAATATGGGTAATTAGCGACTTGTCTGAGCGCGGCCTTTCATATCTCACTCACATTGTCATTGTGCTCTCCTTCCTGGTCTGTCTTCGAGCGATTCGATTTGGGGTGTTGCGCATGCGTGAGCGCCTGTAGTGAGGCGATGCTTTGGTTTAGGCCGGCAAGGTCTTGCTTAATCACGTATGTCAATTCGGAAATTTCGACAGGCCGGTCGTCGAAGAGTGTTTTCCGCTTCGCCACTATTTTCTCGTTAGATTGCTAGCATTACGAGCAATGCGACCAGGACTTACATTCAGCCAATCGCTGCAATTTGGCCATTGTTCCAGTAATCCCCCTTCCGATATCTCGCGCCCGCCGCGCGAACTCCGATCTTGCTGCCTTCGCCTCCTGTCCGGCACCCTGGGGCGACGCATTGGCCTGTCGCCTTTGCGCATCGGTTAACAGTGCCTGGCGCTGCGAACCAACTTTCGACGTCCCCAGGCGCTTCTGGGCATGGCCCAAGATAGCGCTGAATTCGCTGGTCCGGTCTTGTATCGACGGGCCGGTCATTTTGCGATGTGGAAGGAAGGATGTGAAGCGAGGATAGAAGACGAGCAGCTATGGTGTTTCAAGTAGCGCCGGTATTGAGAAGCAAATGTAAATTAGGTCGACAAAGGCCGAATTCGGTCTTGAAGCTGTGTGATTCTATCTGCAATCGATAAGGGGGCGAGATGAAGACGTGTCCGGTTGCAGGTAGAGAGCTCCGAGGGTACAACGTGACTTGAACAGATCCAGGATCAAAGTAAAGAGACTTAATATACTCCGTACAGTCAAGTAAGAAGATGGAAAGGTCGAAGTCAACAAAGTCTACGCAATTAACCCCGTCCTCACTCAATCGGAAACGGTTTACATAAGCCCCGCATCGCCACCTAAATTTAGTTCAAAACGATAGATCAGGGGAATATACCGAGTTAGTTCGTTTCATTGTTCTTAATACTCGTTTCCTCTACTTCCTTTATTTTCTCTTGATACCTATATGTAGGTATAGCTGGCTTGATCTTCTTGTATTTCTCTGTGGATACACGTCATTCTTGTACATCTTGTCTCCTCCAATTATCCCAGCCCGTTTGATCGGTGCCTTGCCAAACTTGGGCCAAATCGCCACCTTCGTCTCTCCCATATACACAATCTTTTAAGGGAACAGTGTTGTTCACCTTCTTATTTAACCCTTACAACTTGCTCTTGTGCAGAATTATTGGAGATCAGCCAAGCAACAGTCGAATGCTGGTAATCAAGCTCGGTCCCTTGATCCTGTTCCCCTGATGGCAGACCCCACCCAATCGCATGGCCACGGAGCCCAGAAACTGTAAGACTGTCTATTCAGATTGAGTCGCATATCTAGTTGCACAAATACTGAGACCTGCTTTAGCCCTTCCCCGCCAAATGTTCGCAGTCCACTCTCGGCAGGCAGCGGTAGCGGAACCCCGATCTCATTCCAAACAAACGTGAATCGCTCCAAAACAAAACGATGGGTGGAAGCGAAACAATATTCTTACGACGGAGGTGACTGGGGTAGTGATGACGACTATGAAGAGGAAGAGGAGGAGGCGCCTCCCGCAGTACCTCGGCCTCCCTATGCCACCCACAACACTGGGAGTTCGTCTGAGCTGTCCGCGAGGCGTTTGTCTGGCATCGGATTCGGAGCCGGGGCCGGTGAATCAGCTCCGGCTGATGGCAAAAATACGACTGTTAGTGGAGGAGATCAAAAGGCGCTTCCTTTCGTACGGCCGGCCGACCTCTATAAACGCATGCGCGAGGAGAAAGCGACACAGCAGTCTCCTATCGCTGGTAGCAATGAGCCCAAGTCTGACGGGGTTGGGGTTCCACCTCAAACAAACCAGGAGAACCCTGATCTGGGTCTACCCGGAAGTCAAGCGCATGTCTAGCTTTGGTACCGATTTCTTAGGTGGTGCAGAGTCCAACCCGCCAACGGATAGCTCTGCATCTCAGGAGCCCTCTTTGCACCACAACCCCTCGCCGGGATTCAGATCGGTAGTGCATCAGGCCTTTGATGTCCCAGAAACTCCGCAATCCACTACCACTAGTGTCGCGCGGTCGAACAGTGATGGCACTTCGACCATCAGCCCTATCATGGGCGGTCGTACTATGACCGACGAAAGGACACCCACCATTCTCGAGGAGCCTAATGAGTCGAGCTCCCCTAAGGCAACTGCGAATGCGGTTCCAGGGTTTAACCCTGGTCATCGCCGGGACCTGAGCCTTCCTAGTTCAGACAACAGTCCCTCGAGGAAACCTCAAGTCACAGACCAAGACACCCCAATCGCGGGCCGTGCAGAATTGTCCTCCATTCCCCCACTCGAGAATCCATCTCCAGAATCACCTGATGCGGGGATCTCTCCTCAGAAACCACCCATGCAATCATACTCGAATAATGGGCTGGACATGCCTGCCCCTCTCAAATTCGGAAGTGCATCTGGCCCTGACACCTTCCATGGCGAAATCCCCACCATCATGGGAGCCGAAGAATCACCACAGAATACTGACAATGATCGCTTGAGGGAGGAGATTATCCGATCATTAAGTCGGGAAGCCACCCCCTCGGACGACCCAGAGCCCAGCCACCAACCTCAGTCGCAGGCACCTGCCGAATCCGTCCCACAACAGACTACGGTTTCCGAAAGCCACCCAGACTGGACTAGCCCGCCTCCTTTGACGTCTCAAGACCCTTATCCGACCAGTCAAGGCGCGGCTGGTAACTTTTCATCCATGATTGTCGATCAGCCAAAGAAGCCCAAGTTAGAAAGACGGTTCTCATGGGAGTCCTCCGATTCGTCAGAAACAGAGCCGCCTCAAATGCCCGGCAGCTATTCATCGCCCCCTCCTTTAGCCACATCGTTATCTATGCAAAACCCTGAGCCTATACGGGAGCAGTCCGCCCCGTTGGTGTCGGACGTGTCGCACGACCCGCTTGCTTCTGAGGATGAAGTGTCCAGTACTCAGCGTGCTGTGGAAAGACCTCGACTTTCGATTGTCCCACCTGTTCCGGAGAACATTACACCACCGGAGCAAGTTATGGGACCTGGGGCTACGCCACCTCCACAACTCCAAGCCCCTAACGTCGACAGCTCATCCCTCGATGAGTCTAAACTTTTGGGCTTCCGTGACATTCTCGGCATCACATCTATCAACCAGCGTATCAAGTCTTTCGAACACACCCGCGACCAGTTCGCCACCATCGACACTGGTTTGAATCATTGGCTAGAGTTCACAGTCCATGATCACCCCGAGCATGCCGATGTGGTCCAACAGAGCCAGAATCTCTCCCCTACCGTGCCACTATCAGATCCTTCCCGCATCAGATTCCCTAAGTTGGGTGCTCTTTCGAATCTCGGTTCCTTGAATGACGGTACCCCGACTAACGCCACTCATGTCCGACGTCCGTCGGGCCATCTTGGTACAGTGATGAACAAGGATAAAGTCGGGGAGAAAGGGAAGGAGTTCCTCCACACTGCGGGAGCGTTTAGTGGCAAGGCAACTGGGGCAGCCAAGGGGCTGTTTGCCAAGGGCAGAAGCAGGTTCCGACCCAGTGGAGGTTCTGAGAAGGTAGATGTCTGATTCTTTCTCTTTTTCGTTTGAGCGAGTTGTTTACTTGGGTAAGCACGGTGGATGCCGTCGCTTTAATGTTTCCCTTGGACTTTCGCTGCATTGCTTCACTTTCTGGATACCACGATGTAATTCCGAGCACTTCTTTTTGGCATTGAGCTCTAGAATGAGACACGATTGATGCATCTGCCCTTTCGATACAATCTAACACCCCGCCCTTATTTTGTTTACATTCTGATGTTGGTAATGTTGTAGGTTCAGTCAACTCAAAGTGCTTCTCGCCGCAGCTTTCAGTTCTCCTTCCCCTCAGGGACTGGTGAAGTGTCTGGTAACTCTTCTCTGCGAAACTCTGTCACATTTGGCAGTCTGCCCATCTTCAAATCCGAGCGAACTGGGCTCAACTCCGATCCTGATCCACCGGTCAGCTTCTGTCTAGATGGTCCACAGGGTGAACACAATGGTGGCAAACGTGTCAAGGCGACCAAATCGGGGAATAATAACCTGTCCCACGACCATGTTGGCGAAACGACTGGGCAACGGGACCAACTGCCATCTTCCAATGGTCTCCCTCCTAAAACTGAAGTACCCGGGAAGTCTGCCTTTGCTGGAGATTTGGAGCAGGAGATGATAGCTGCACTTGGTCTTTCGCCCACAGATCCTCATCCTCGAAGGGCGGCAAGTACCCCGACGGCGTTGAATGCATTTAGCCAAGTAAATGGCGGGAAACGGCAATTCACAGAGCCACTGCCGCAACAGGGAGAAAGCACAGCTGGCAATCAGTCTGACGCTGAAGCGCCGGCGAGCAAAGACCCAGTCGCAGGGAAGAGTTTGCCAGTCATTCCTGATGAGCCTTTTCACGTCCCCGTTCCGGTTGTGAACAGCCACGGACATCAGCCAAGCAAGTCTACACCGGAGATAGTTACTCCGTCAATCCGTCCAGTGCTTGATGAAAGTCCTAAGCCCCCTTCGCCGCCTCCCAAGGATATTGGTAATGGGCTTGCACCTAGCCAGGGTCATAGACGCCAGCCCTCTGTCTCAACACTCGGGCCTGACGAGCAAGCCGGACGTACATCCAACGAGGAACTCGACAGGGATCCCCCTTCTCCTTTGCAAGAGACAGCAAACGAGGTAGTACCAGAACCCCGGTATAAAAACAAGGTTGAGCAATCTGCGGATGACGCTCCTGGCTCATTGGCATCCGCTCAAAAGAAGAGAAGGTCTTTCATACCTTTCTATCCGTCAGAGTTCACAAGCTCTGCCGAGGTCCTCGAGTCCAAAAGGAAATCGATCAGCGGCCTACCTCCCTCTGTTCCCGATGTGCATAGCCCCTTGAGAAACGAAGTCAGATACTCGCCGGGAACCCGAAGCAGTATGCTGAGCTTCGGTAGCTTCGGAAAGCAGAGTGCCAACGGCAAAGGGACTCGCCCGTCCACACCTGCTAACGGTCTTTCCCAGCGTTCGGAATCGGGGTCTCCTGCAGGAATGGGGAGTCCACTATTGGAAAACTGAAGGAGTTTGGGAGACGACGACGCGCTTCAGTGGGAGACCTCCTCTCTGGTATTCAACTACAAGGGCCCCAGGCGCCCCAAGAAGGCCAGCGGAAACGAACATTCAGCAGGATTAGCGTACGTCTACTCTATACAATTGTTTTGGTTTGTTTTCTAACTTAGACAGGTACTATTTGGCCGCCAAGACTCTCAAGATGCTGGAAGGAAATCGACCGACCACAAAAGGACTACATCAGAGCAGCTGCAAAACAAATATTTGCCGGCACGTCCGTCGACAACTGGAAATCCAAATACTAGTGTTGCTGCACAGGATGAACCACCGGTCCTCAGCAATCCATTTGAACAAACCCTGTTGCCAACTCAGCCCCCTGAGCCTAGGGCACCACCACCGCCACCACCGAGCGACGCAAAACCGCCACGCGATGATCGTCAACGTGCCAGTATATCACTTCCATCCAGTTCATCATCCAACTCCCTGGCGACTGGTCGGTTTTACTCGCAGTTCCGGTCTGGATCCATGAATGAAACACCCAACGGCTCTCGCCATGCTAGCACACTCAGTCAGCCCCTGCCAGATCATTCCCGGTCACCGTCTCCCATGTCATTCCAAGAGAATAGAGCTGCACCTTCACTGTCACCGCTGGAAGAGTTACAAGACCACCAGATACATCAACTGCAGACAGAGGAGCAACACAAGCAAAAGGCCCAGCAAAACAAAAACGGAGACCCGCAGTTAGGCACCCTGAATGAGAACCAGGAACAGGAGGAGCATGAGGAACACAAAGATCGCATGCTTGGGGAGCCTCTTCGACACGAACTATATGGGGAGATATGCGACCCTCCGACAAACAGGCAAAACAACCCGGAACAAGAGCACGAATTACAAGGCAATATCAAACAGCAAAGTCTAGCTCCTCAGCTCAGCATCCGATCCCGAAAGCCAGTGGTTTCAGACTCGGCATGCCCAGCCTCGGAGAACCCTGCACCCCGCAACATCGCCGTCTCGAACGCCTCCGCGATATCCGCGCATCCTCACCGCAGTGAGGACGAGGCTCGTGTAGTCAACAATTCGCCTCAGCCAGTTGAGCTTGCCATCACCGCGGACAACTCTAGCGAGGAGATCGTCATGTCCCCCACGTCCTACCCTGGACAGGAGTGGACGCCCATGCATTTGTAGCATGTTTGATTAGAGCACATATGATACCCATCGTCCCTTTCGCGGGATTAGAAGAATCCTGAGTTTTATTTGTATACTTTTTCTTTGTACACGTAAGTGTACCATACTGTTCGAATACCTCTCTTCTCATAGATGCATGTCTGTTATCTTTGCCATTTCTCAAATAATTTGATCAGGTTCATTACGCATATTGATCTCTGGACCTCTCCGGCTGCTCTGTCTAAGATATAAAGCTTCAATCTAGACTAAGCATACATGCTGTCTCGATAGCAGTTTCTAGGACTATCACTAAAAGGCCGACAAATCCCTTCGGCGACCAGAAGGAGCGGAGTCGGATGTTCGGGTTTTCCGGGTTTTTCGACAGATACATGTCTGTACATATGTAGGTAATAAGTACATGTACATAATTGAAAAGATAACGGCTTCCCCGCATCTATAAAGACATAAGAAGAGCTATAAATGACTATTCAAGACTATATTCTCATTCCATCAATACTTAACTACGCCCCTTCAAGATGAACCCTAACGAACCCCCTATCATAGATTTCGCCCGTAAGAAGCGCCCTCCAGCACCGTATATTCTATACTCTAATAAAAGTATCTAACCCTCTCAACAGCCTTCTATGCCAACGATTCAACCAAAGACGACCTCATCCATCAAATCCAACAAGCGTGTGAACAATTCGGCTTCTTCCAGCTAATCAACCACGCCATCCCAACCGAACTACAAGCCGCAGTCCTACAACACTCGAGTGAATTCTTCAACCTCCCCTTGGAAACGAAAGAGAAATACAACCAAGGTAATACAGCGCTCCCATCTCCATCAAATACCTAAAAAGGTACTTACCTAAATCCCAAAGCCAGTGGCGGCTTCAACCGCGGATACGAACGACTACGCTCTCAAAACTTCGAAAAACGCACAAAAGGCGATCTCAAAGAAGGCTTCTACCTCGGAAAGGACCTGCCACTCGATGATCCATACGTCGTCCAGCGACGCTTCGGCCAAGGACCGAATAAGTACCCCTCCGAAGTCCCCGACGCGAAAGGCTTCCGTCGCGTCATGGACGAGTACCACGACGCCATGATCGAGCTTGCCGTAGCCATCATGCAAGTTATAGCGCGCACGCTGGGTCTGGATGAAGATGTTTTTGGCGATTTCTGCGATCATCCCGTCTCCATTCTGAGACTGCTTCATTATCCGTCCCAGGAGGTTGATGCGTCCGATCTTGAGAGAGGTTAGTGGGAAACCCCGTCTTAACATGTGAATGAATATCACAAGGAAAACGAACTAAGGCGAGTCCAGGAATCGGCGCTCATACCGATTTCGGCGCTATCACGATGCTCCTGCAGGATGATACGGGCGGGTTGCAGGTATGGAATAACCTGTCGTCTGAATGGGTTGATGTCACGCCAGTGCCTGGGGCGTATGTTGTTAATCTGGGGAATATGATGATGCGCTGGACGAATGATCGGTACTTGTCGAATCTGCACCGCGTCATTAATACCAGTGGCAAGGAGCGGTTTAGTGTTCCCTTCTTCTTCTCGGGGAATCCGAACTATACTATCCGGTGTCTTCCTGGCTGTGAGGATGCAGAGGAGGGTTCTAGATATCCCCCGATTACCGTCCACGAGTGGATGGCAGGGAGATATGCAGATACTTATGGGACTTCAGATGGGAAGGCCATTGGGGAGCTGCGCCAGGAGCCTGATGCGTGATGCATTAGTAGTAGGAGTAAAGCAATCAAAACTGTTTATATGAGAATGTCACTATACAACCCATCCCACTAATTCCCCTTGACAACCTCCCAATCAACCCACTCCGTATCCCCGAAAACCTTCTGCGGAGTACTATACATCTCCCATTCCTCCTGTCCAAGAACAGAAGTAACACCACCCTCAACACGACCAGTCTCATTAACCCCAGGCCCGTAAGCCCGATACTCCGCCATAAGCGTAACGCCCTCTTCGAACCTCGAAACACCATCAACAACCCAATCAATATACCCGCGCGGATCAACACTCCCGTCCTCGTAAGAGCGCGCAAAGATCGACCGGTGCTGGCTATTCCACGGCCGGCCGAGCGCACACGCACCCTTGATATCAGCCGCGATGGAGGCGTTCGCTGCACGCACGCTAGAGTCAACTACGTACACGCCGTACTTGTTTGGGGTTGTTGTGTTGGTGCCCTTCCAGGCGGTTATGCCGCCGCCACAGCCGCGGAGCTGTAGGGCGCTGGATTGGATCCAGGCTGTGCCGAAGCCGTATAGGAAGTCGGTTTGGCCGGCTAGAATGCTTTCGTAGAAGTAGGCGTTGCCGAGTTTGCCGATGTAGACCTGTGGAGGGGTTAGTGTGTGTTTGTGTTGGTGGTGCGAATGATCCCAACGAATGAAAAACTGAATGCATGGTTAGAAGAACGTACAGTATCCTGGTACGAATAAAACCCGCAGTGATAAAACCCGCCATTGGCACGACTGAGACTCAGCGCATGCGCCGGTCCGTCCGAGTACTCAGCCCAAGTATTATCAAAGTCGACATTATACACTCGGAAATCCTTATTTCCGAATGGCGTATCAGCTGGCACGGGATACCCGGTCGGTCCTGTGCCCGTGAGACTCGCTTCGAGCGTGGGTGCTACAACCATCACGCTGAAGAAGACATTGTCGGTGCCACCGGTATTGTCTCTGTTGCCAGCTGCCCAGTTGATGCGCACGCGGTTGCGGGTTGCGTCTTTGGGGGAGGTTGTTTGGCCGAGGAGGGTTATTGGGCCCGAGCGGGTTATGTTTACTTGCTCGGTATAGGTACCTTCTAGAATGAGGATTGTTTGTGGGCTTTCATCGTCGGGGAGGGAGTTTATGGCGGATTGGATGGTTTTATGAGAGGCGTGTTTAGAGGTTGCGCTGACAATTAGGGTTCCCCGGGGACAGTGGGTTCTGGTTGATTGGCAGGTTTGTCTGGAGATGGGTTGGATGGCTATGGTATTGGCTCCTAGGGCGAAGAGGAGGAGACCCAGAAGGGAAAGGATGGATGGGAGCATCGTGCCTGCGGTGTATGGGTGATTGCTCACTTCCGATGGGTACGGCCTACGGTGGTTTTACTATTCTTTTATAGGCATTTGGAGAGCGGGGGTTTGTATAGAAGCCATAGCCAGTTGCAGCATAAGACGGAAAATTGGGAGATGGATAATACCAAGATGGGTTAGGAGTAAATTAGATAGTTGAGTGCATTGTGGTATTTCTCTGTAGTTCGTCCATTTTGGGAAGAGAGGGGGTCTCACAGGAAGCTTGTCTCCGCGAAGTGGAAATTCATCCGGGGGAAAAGTATGGGGACGGAGAATTGGCTTCCACCTGTCAGCGTTGGAGATGGGAGAAGACACAGTGCGTACAACGAAGTTAGATCAACAGGGGCGAGGATAGCGGGATAATAAGCAAGAGTAGAGAAAGATCGTCAAGACTGGAATGCTACAATGCTACAAATGGAAATTACGAGGAACAGAAATAATTAGAATCCCTTAGATTGACTAAGTGCCACTATTAACGACATACATACACGTAGAGAATGAAAACATGACTCTAGCAACTCGAAAGCAAACCACAGCCAAGGGGGTAAATGAAACACACAAAGTCTATAATACGGGTAAAAGGAAGCAAAAAAAGACGGAGCCCTTTTTGACTCCCACGTCATGCATGTTCAGGTAGGTGGCACGGCAAAATTTGCGTGTAATCGCAGGGAGATAAAAGAAATTAGACCTCGAATCAGTAACGAGTTGCAAAAAAAGCTAAGGAACGAGCGTTTACTCGTTGTCCTCGATCTCCTCGGCACGAGCACCGAGGGTGTAGCGAGTCTTTCCTTCGGAGTCCTTCTCCATCTCGACGGCGAGCTTGGAGAGGTGAGCGATCATGTTCTCGATCTTGGTGTCAGCCTTGGAGCGGGTCTTGCGGCCAAGGTTGTCAAGACCAGGAACAATGGTCAGGAGGTAGTACACAACGGCGATGATGATGGTCACACCGATGGAGTAGGCCCAGATGACAACAACGGTGACAATGTCAACATCGTTGTTCTTGGAGAAGCCGGGGCCACCAGGGGTAGGGGGAGAGGTCTGCTCCCAGTCGGGGGCGAGCCAGCCGAAAACAGCGAAGAGGGTGGCAAGCACATCGACGATGAAGATGGCAATGACCAGCTGCCACGAGGGCCAGGTCTTTCCACCACGGGTAACGAAGATGAGCCAGTTCTCAGTCAGAGCAATCTCAAGGAAGAGAATCTCCTGGGGAGAACCGAAGTTCTGGATGATACCACCGTTCTCGAGGAAGAGAGTACCACGGATGATCCAGGTGGCGGCAGCGAGCAAGATTCCAAGAACGACGGAGATGACCCAAATCTTAGGCAACTGCCACTCGACAGGGCGGGCTTCAAAGTGAGCGTTATCGTAGGCAACGGCGATGGTGGCAAGATCAGCGAACAAGGCGATGAAGACAATGAGGGAAGAGTCGACAGTCTCGTTGATGATGATCATGGAGGTAACCAGGTAGATCTCAAGGTGGAGACACAGGGCAATACGGTACTGGATGTAAGCCTTCATACGCTGGAAAATCTGGCGGGCAAGCTTGATAGCATCGACGATGGTGGAGAGACCGGGGGCGAGGAAGACAATATCGGCGGCAGCCTGGGCAGCCTCAGTGGAACCCTCGACAGCGATACCACAGTCAGCCTTCTTGAGAGAGGGAGCATCGTTGACACCATCACCAGTCATGGCGGTCAAGTGACCACGCTGCTGGAGCATCTCGACGACCTGGTACTTGTGCTCGGGGAAGACCTCAGCGAAACCATCAGCCTTCTCGACAAGGTCGTGCTGGGCGGAACCAGCGAGACCACCGTGGATCAGACGCTCAGAGTTGTAAACCTTGGTACCGAGGGCAAGCATCTTGCAAGTCTCCTTAGCGATAGAGATAGCGTCACCAGTAAGCATCTTGACGGAGAGACCGAGAACCTGGGCCTCAGCGATAGTGTGGGCGGTATCCTCACGGGGGGGGATCGAACATGGGGTACATGCCCAGAAGCTGCCAGGGCTCACCCTCCTTCTGGACGGCGACACCAAGGGAACGGAAACCACGGCGAGCGAACTCAGTGACCTTCTCACGGTAGAGGACAGCCTCCTCGGGGGAGCAGTCAGACATGTTGAGGATAGCCTTGGGGGCACCCTTGGCGCAAATGTAACGGACACCATCGCAAGTACAGACGGTAGTAATACGCTTGGAGACGGGATCGAAAGGAGTGTACTTCTCGGTAACCCAGTTGCGGGAAAGGATCTCGCGGGCCTTGGGGTAGCGGCGGAGGGTAAGGACAGTAACCTTGTCGATGGGGTCGAGGTTCTTGATGTTGTGGGAAGAAGCAATAGCAGCGACGGCCATCATCCAGTTAACATCAACACCCTCCATGACGTAGGGCTCACGGATGGAAAGCTGGTTGGCAGTGAGAGTACCGGTCTTGTCAGAGCAGAGAATGTCGACACCAGCGAGAGACTCGATGGCAGTGAGCTTCTGGACGATAGCCTTCTGCTCGGCGAGGTAGGCCGCACCGACAGCGAGGGTGGTGGTGGTGACAACGGGAAGACCGACGGGAACACCAATAATCAGGAGAATCAGGGTGTAGTGGAGCAGGTTGTTGTCGCTGTGCTCGGGAGTAGCGATCTTCAAGTGACGGAAGAAACCACCAATCCAGGCGGCGAGAATCCAGAACATGACGAGAACGAGCAGAGAGGTACCGATGTTGTCCATGACAGCCTTGAAGTGACCAGAGTCCTGGGCACCCTGAACAAGGGCGGCAGTCTTACCGACGAAAGAGTGACGAGCAGTAGCAGTGACAATACCGTAGGCCTTGCCACGCTTGCAACCAGTGGTGTAGTAACAGACATCAGCCATGTACTTGTCGACAGCGAGAGATTCACCAGTGATAGCGGACTGATCACAAGCAATGAGGGAGACACCCTGGTGGGTCTCAACATCATCATCGTCATCATCACCGTGCTTCTCCTTGAGGTCGTCGGAAGTGGCGTTGGCGAGGTACTCCTTGTAGGCCTCGAACATCTCGGGCTTGGAGTAGTCACAGATCAGGCGGACATCGGCAGGGATAACGGTACCCTCCTCGACGATAACAATATCACCAGCAACGAGCTCACGAGCGAGGATCTCCTCCTCCTGGCCGTTACGGACAACGATAGCACGCATAGCGATATCACCCTTGAGAGAAGCAACGACATCGGCAGCCTGCTTCTCCTGGTACCAACCGACGAGAGCGTTAAGCAAAAGAATACCACAGATAACACCGAGATCGATCCAGTCACGCAGACCGGCAGCGAGGAGGACAGCAAGTTCCATAACTGTACAGCAACGAACACGTTAGTCAATCAATTGGCATAAGACGCGTCAATTGAGACGAATGTCAAAGCCCACTTACCATAGAGAATGGGACCACGGAAGTAACCAATGAACTGAATGAAGATGTTGGTCTTCTCAGTGACCAGCTCGTTCCAGCCAGTCTTCTTGCGACGAGGCTCGATATCGCTGGTGCTCAGACCAGTGCGAAGGTCGGTGTCGAGCCAGTCATCGGGGGCAACGAAACCATCCTGGATACCACCAGCGGCCTTGCCACCGAACTTCCACCAGGGCTTCTTCTTCTCCTCGCCCGAACTCAGAGCACCGGCGCTCGAGGTGGAGCCACGACGGTTGTCGCGGGCAGTCGAGATGTACCGGTTGAGAGCAGAGTACTCGTCGAGGTTACCCTCATCACCAGCCTCACGGGTGTGACGCTCACCATTTTCGACGTCAACAGCATAGGAAATTCTCCGCTCCGCCATTGTTGTTGCTTCGGCTCACACAGCCTTGGAACCCAACGATATGAGTAAAGACAACGGAATGACGGGTATGACAGAGTCGGAACAGATCCTATGTAAAGAGAGAAAAAGAGAAAAATGAGATGGGCGAAGGAAGGACTGTTTTATAATGGATTACGGGGGGGTCAAAAAGAAGGAACCGGAGTGGGTTGGTGGATAATGAGAGAAAAGAGTGAGGGAAATAAAAAAAAAAAAGAAAAATTGTAAATTGAAATTGAAAAAATTGGGAATTAAAAAAATAATAAATAATTTGGGGACCGATTGAAATGGGGGGAAAGGTATTTTGCACGAAATCCCGTGTTTGTCAATCTGAGGGGGGAAATACTTCTGAAAATGGTTGCTGGGGAAGGTATAACCCAGGTACCTTTTTTGACCCGCTCTGGAATCATTCTTTTCGGGTTATTTTGACTTTTTGGTATTTTTTGGTTGTTTTTCGCATGTTTTTTTTGTTTTTTATTCCCATTTTTCTTCCCCTTTCGGTTTAGCGTTATGTGATTTCTTGGTCAATACCAGACTTTACCCCTTGCCCTACCCAGAAAACTCCAACCGGATACCCGGCTGCAGCCAGTCATCTCCAAGGCACAGTCCTTTAAGTGGGGCCGACACTGCACTCGGCTTAGCCCCAAAACATTGAAAAAACCTGATACCGATACCACTCTCCCTCTGGAGGTCTCTGCTACCGGCAATGAGCTGCCGAGTTGGCCTCCACAGACATCACTTCCGTATGAAATTGGTACGGAGTACCACAATTTTACACGAGTTTCCATGCCTTAGCCGATATGCCCCAGTTCTGACTATGCGCGATTTTTGTGTCTGGGGTCATTTCGATCCTTACTGTGTCCCGAGACCCCAAGACATAGAGAAATATAAATAATAAAAAAACAAAACTAATGGAATTGGTACAGCGAATCTGATGTATTCCGATTTGCAGTTAGGCAAGTTAGCTGTTTAACGGAGAATTCACGGGCATGGCAAAGGAATAGACAGGAATGCCCTTGCAGGAGAATGCTCCTCTAATGAGCGACATGGTCCGAGATAGCCCCAGGATAGTCCTTTGATACGGATACGTTTTCATTTACCCTACTCCGTATGTTGCTACGGAGTCGGACTACACTATGTATACTCCGTAGTTCAATTTTCTCTTCTCGACCGAGTCCGGCTTTCACCCGTGGAGAGTCCACTCAGGTGACAAAAGGAACAAAAAATGCCACAGTGACTACGGTGACGACAATATCGCATGGCCGTCACACCCAATCCATTTTAAACATAGCAAGGGGTCCCGGAAGCGGTAGATTTTGATTTTTTATTGATATGTATGCCAATGCTATTGGAAGCATGCCGGGCCAACAAAAATTACACTGTATCTGACAATAAAGTTACAATTCTTACCGTTATGTCATCAATTAGCTAATTTGCTCCTGGGGCCCTCCTCCAACTCTGGTATCAATACGCACACTGTTCTTATTTCCACTTCCCTCGCTGAAGCTGCCTCGTTCGTACCTCTTGCCACGGTCGATCTCTGCCCTCTCTTTTCCGCCCCCTGGCCTCGTGGAGAGCGTCCCCAGAAGCGTCATTTAATTCGGTGCCTCTCACTGGTCGGCACGACCGCAAAAGTCCCCGCCCACTAACACCTTGTAATAACTGGGCGGCTTTGATCGAATCATCGGGTGCAGACGCCGGCCGATGATTTCATCGTTGTTTGATCGCCGACGATGTTCCCAAGCACTGATTCTAATATGGTCTCTTTGGACAGAGCGCAGCTGGAATGCTTCACGTAATCTCATATGGCAATCATTCTGGCTTTGCCATGTTGTGAAAGGTGGCCTAGTCAAGATGGGAAAATTTGGATGCTTCATCGCTTTAATTATGATAGACTATTGCTACCCTCTCGGCCAGCACATAGCTCCATTGATCGCCTGACAGTGTGCATGACCAAAAAAGACAAAATTTCCTTTGGCCCAGCAGGGAACAAACCTAGTTCGCGATGTCAAAAGGGTGCCCTGCGGGTAAATCCTCGACAAAGTATAACAGGGGTCATCGGATGCATGTTATTGGGGTGATCCTCCATGACTGAACCTTCAAGGGATCACATCAAGCTTCCCGGTGTATGCAACATAATAAGGCTGAATGCCATTGGATGAGATCTCGTTTTCAAATCACAATGTAGTAAAAAAAATCACAATGTAGTAAATAGTTTATGGTAAGCCAGTGCTGTCACTTTAGTCAATCAGAAACTCTATAGGATGGCAGCGATATTCCCATACTTTCAATGTTTGGAAGACACCCCGGCTTTCCGGTGAGTGCCCTTGGCAATTCTTCCCCAGAAGACCAATCTCCTCGGGGCTGGGGTTTCCCTCGATCGTGCACGCGCCGTTGGCGATGGACAACGGTGCGGGAGAGTCGATATCAATATCCCGAGTCTACGCGATCTAGACAAATTTCTCCTCTCGTTCTCGCTCCGTACATCGTACAATAATATAGAGGCGCTACTATCGATCGAGTGCGGATGGCTTGCGATAATCCCTCAGACAACCCTGTCGGTCATCCCGTCTCCAGTACGGAGTATGTACTTTGTACAACATATACTTTAATCAAAGGCGCCCGGCGCTTTACGCGGCAGACGTGCCCGTTCACTATGCGAGCCAATTGCGGGCATCTGAACGAGAGGAAATTATGGAGCTCCCGAGTCTGGCCGTGATAATATATCAAATAAATATCACCTTCCATTCTAGAGCCATACTCCGTAGGAGCTATTGGTTTTCCCCTAAAAAGATAAAGAAAGAGACCACAATCCCGCTTTATCTAGCCCAGTGTCGTCACTCTGGACCCCCTGTCTCATCTCTTCCATATCAAAGGAATAGCTGCAAAGACAGATAGCTCTTGGGCCAAACTCTTTCGGGAAGCCGGCCGCGAGTGGAGTCTGAAATCCGCAACTGACCCCTATTCGATGCAACGCTTACGCTTCGTCCTCCTGCAGCCCCGTGCGAGAATGAGGGAAAAAAAGCAACAAAGGGAAAAAAAATTATGGAAAATGAAAAAGGTCCAATTGAGTTACGATTATTCCGGGGGATTCTCGCCGTTTAGCCATTCAAAAATCCCACGTCAGCCAAGCCCGGCTGGCAGCAGTGCACGATCCGGGGGGGAGGACTGTCCTCAGCGCCGCCGAGGTCACTGGATGTCCCTGCACCGAATTTTCTTTGATGGATCAGTCATTTGGACTAGGATATTGGGCCATTGTTCTGGTTTTAAAAAAATTTCTGTCGGGCCGACGACCTTTCAGTATCTCCAAAAACCGAGGCGCATAAGTGGAGAGCTCTCTTGGACCCCAATCGAATATGGAAAAATGGCTCGGGCAATCGAAGCATCGAGAATTAGGAAATTATTACTTTACAGGGCATTTCTCTTCCCCACGCTGCGACCCGTGGATCATGCTGTGGGACAATATCCGCCGTAGGAGGTAGATTGTACTACACACACGTGCGCAATATCAAAATGTAATGTCGTGGTCAAGTCCACAATCAATTTTGATTTGGAGAATGTGAGGTAACTGTAGCCTCGCCATTATTGCTGATCTTTTACTCCGTAGCCGTGGAGTAATGCCAACTTTTCAATAATTCCAATAATATAACAGACGTAACAATAACATTCGGGGATTCACGGCATGTCCGTATATGGTTTTGGGGGAGGGGGCTGGGAACATGTTTCACGATCTCCCATCCCATCGGAAGCTACACAATTACCCAAGAACAACAACCTTCGACTACCATTGTACTTCATACTCCGTACACGATTTGATCTATACGTGGCGAATCACCCTTGTCTCCTCGGTCGGACATGTGCTTTACGTAGCCGCCAGGATCCCTCTACACGTGAAGCACGATACGACGTCCACCGGGAGTGACATGAGGATCGAACATTCCTCGCAGTGTCGGGCGATCGCGCCGCTGATGCCGTCTGGTTTGGAGGTGTTGATCTGGGGAAGCACCGCGCGATCAATTCCTGCTGACGGCGAAAGCACGGCCTTTTCCGATTGTGTTGTCTCCCGTCCTGCATCATGCAACAAAATGCCTCAAAAATCGTTTCGCGTTGCCCGAGTAGATGATTGCCACTCCGGACCGGACCGGGGCAACTGGAAAATTATGATTCCATTGCTAACAATTGTAAAGGACGGTGAGCACGGAGAGACCGAGATGTAAAATGCTGCGTGCAGAGTAAACTAGAGGCTGGCCCTAATGGGTTTCGGTGCCGAGTGATCATACATTTCTCGGAGTGGACCCAGTTCGGTGCGTGTGGTTATCGATTTAGGGTGTTCTGGACGTCTTCTAGAAGGCTTCCTGGAGGTGACTGTACCATGGATGCAATGCAGCTTACGCTGCATGTGGGCGTGAACGGGATTTTTCCTTTTTTTATTTTACCCTTTTCCTTCCTTACCTCTCTAATCGACGGATGTCGGCACAATATGAATTAATGTTCATAACGTCCGATGATAAGAATAACAGTATCACGTCATGACTCTTATCATGCCGCTTTCGCTATGCCTTTGTTAGACTAACCCAAATGCTATTATTACCACATACTTTGAAAATACGCGGAAATGTACCTAGGTACTATCAATTTTTCCAATTCGGGTAAAATCCGAGCAGCGAGATTACCTCGGTCCCCCACCAATCATACCCCCTAGAAACAGCTGACTCAGTTAATTACCGTACCAGGTCCGAGTGGATTTCCCACTGAAATACGTACCAAAACATGTAAATTACACCCGGCTTGGACATGCCGTCAACGAGCGTTCTATAGGGATAGCCCTAAAAAAGTGTGTCTATTGTGGAAGTATAGGTATAATGTCAGAACAAATGATGATGAGGACACACAACCTAATCTCCCCGGCCAAATCACCTAAATCCAGATCCTGAACCCACACTATTGCCATTGGCATTACTTTATCGACGTCTACTGGCCAGGTA